GATAGCTACTGCTATAAATGATAAGTGAATGGATATTGCATCACTTTCTAATGATAGCTGGAACCGGTTGCAACTTTTAACAAGTTATCATCAGCAAAGCAACCTTTACTTGAAAACTGGAGGCTTTTCAACAGATGTAAAATTCATGTTTCCTTGTGGTGTACATTTTGAAATTTTGATTCAGAAAATTTACATCGGTTTTTAGCTGTTGGTTTTTATCAGCAGGAAAGAAAATTTTGGGGGATAACAGGTTTATTGCTTCCTAATCTCATTGATATGAAAGTCAGTTTGTGCTGTGTTTTAAGGAAAACTGGGGGAAGTAAGCTATGGGAGGAAAAAAGCTGTGATACCCCCCCCCCCACTCCCATTTCAAAAACTGCTCAGCAAGAAACCAGCTGAGATTGCAGTGAATGTGAGAATATCAAGCTCCTTCTACATTGCCATATAAAATCCAGATTATCTGCTTTGAACTGGATTATATGACAGTGTAGATTCATTTATTTATGTATTTATTTACGATATTTCTATCTCGCCTTTCTCAAGCCTGAAGGTGACTCAAGCCGGCTTACAAATTGGCAGCAATTCGATGCCATAACAAGTCACAAGATACAATAAAAACATTTTAAACAAGATTATAAAAACCATACAAAAACCATTAAAAACATATAATAAGCAATGTCTTCCTGTTAATCCCATTTTCCAGTAGCATTGTCTGAGTCATTCCTTGTTTCAGTCTTACATAATTCCATGTTTATCTATTGCACTGCATTCCCAAAGGCTTGTTCAAAGAGCCAGGTTTTTACTTTTTTCTGAAGGTCACGAGGGAAGGCCGATCTAATATCCCTAGGGAGGGAGTTCCACAGCCGAGTGGCCACCACTGAGAAGGCCCTGTCTCTCGTCCCCACCAGATGCGCCTGCGAAGAAGGCAGGATCGAGAGCAGGGACTCCCCAGACGATCTTAAAACCCTAGACTCATATAATCCAGTCCAAATCAGATAATGTGAATTATCTGATTTGATAAATTTAATTAAATGTCACTGTAGAAGGGGCCTCAGTTTCAAATTACCATGCAACTTTCAAACTCACTGGTGACCCTAGGAAAATCAATAACTACTCCACAGTTTTGTTGTGACCCAAGTTAAAAGGTTGCACTCTGAAAAAGGAACATGTAAATTTAATTTTTCCAATGAGCCTCCAATAGGCAAGTAACCCTAGTCTCTTCCATTTATCTTTACCTCAATGCTAGTCTTGCCAGTCTTTCCCTGTCCACTATATAACATGCCTAGATTCCAGTGTTACAACAGGCAGAAGTGAGAGATTACTGGGCAAGAGAAACAGCACTGGTGCTTCTTCTCATAAGCCTCGTTGTGAAGCTAAAAAGTAACACTTAGCCTCTCAGAGAGAAGAATGGAAGTAAATGTAGCAAAAGGCCATACTGTTCATGTGCAATGGCTATGCCCGTCAACCCATTTTTACCACTTTCCAAAGACATGGGAGAAACTGCTGGATTTTCATGACAGACTGATGAACATGGCATGCAGCAGACACTATATTATTACAGTGAAAACTGCCACCATGTTTCAGCTAGGTCGCATGGTGCATTCAGAAGACCACGCACACTTCATTGGTGAAGGTATATTGTCCTGCAAACCTTGATAATGTTGGCACCCAAACACAATAACTAGCACAACAACTGAACCTTGTTAACTAGTAGACAAGACTTTCACAGTTGAGAGATTACTTCATTAATCCCCTGTTTTAATGTTTAAATGTAGTTTCATTTTATGATTTAATTTATAGTTTTATGTTACTATTGTTTTATGTTATGTTTTCATGTTTTGTAAGGCATTGAATTTTGCTGTGAATACATTGAAAACCACTTTGAGTTTCCCCAGGGGAGAGAAAATTGATATATAAATGAAGTAAATAAATACATTTTCCTGAGAACATTTCCCTTTGATTGATTTGCCATCTGACACCCAGAATGGGCAAGAAATATGAGAATACTGCCAAAAAGTGTAAGGCCCACATTGGTTTATTTATCATCCATGTATATGAACATTGGGTATCTTTTCAGTAAAAAAAACTTTGGATGATGTGAATTTGCCATTCTGTAATTTGATTTATGATTTTAGATTGTGCGGTTGGTCCAGGTAACCATCAGTACAACAGTGTAAGTGAGATGAAAGGTGACAGAAAATGATCTCATGGCTGAAGCATTTTTAGCCTGTATTTTATTGTTTTTAAGATTTTCTCTTTTTTAAAAAAACAAAAAAGCCAGATGTGACCAGATTGGAATGTGAATTTGTTCTCTTTCTCTTTCTCTCTGTCTCTTTCTCTCTATCTCTTTCTATCTCCCTCTTTCTCTTGTGATCTCGATTTAGCAAAAGATTAGAAAGCTGATCTTATCACAAGGTAAGCTCAGCCTTCGTAAGTGCAGTGTGGGGGATATGCATAACACACTTCAATGTTCAGAAAAAAGCTGCAATACATTACTTGCTATGAAAGATAGCTATCCCATTGGGAATGAATGAACAGTATATGCTTTCCACTCCATCCTCTGCTCCACAGATGTATCTCTCAGTAGCTCTTCTCCATAGGGAGACATCTCCATTTGGATCCCAAATTTACCCTCCTTAAATATCCACCTTTTAACTACAGCCACCTGCCTTCTTTTATAGGAATGCAGCCTGGTAGCCAGTTTGCTATATTTAATAAGGCAAATGAGTTATGACAAGGTATGATGAATCACACACATAGCTATCGAAAATTAAGTTTATGTTGTTCTATCTCTTCTCCCTTGCTATAATACACAGTTGAGTTCTTTGGCTGTGTTTTAAAGCCTAGCTGGTTGAGAGATACACTACTCAATGAAAATGTGATTTGAACAGGCTGCGTTGAAACATAAAAGACCCCAATTATATCATCTCTATACTTAGCCTCCCTAGTTCTGCAAGGGATATCAGTGTACAGAAAGGACTGGCTTTATATGACAGGAACTGCACACCCAGATTGAATCTAGATGTGAATCAGTCTTAATGTGCATATGTGGAGATAAGGCATCCATTGTGACCTCCAAATTACAAGAGAAAAATGAGAACATATATTTACATCAACATTGCAATATGACTGGGGATACAAAATAGCTGGAAATACACCGTTAAATTTGGATTGGAAAGCCTGATATTGATTATGGTGATGATGATGATGATGATGATGATGATGATGATGATATTATTATTATTCCCATCATAGTTTACATGATTCCTTATGACAGTGGTTCTTATGCTATCCAATGTGGGGATTGTCAACTTTTCCTCCTATGTGCCAAGGATCAGCAACAGACTTCTGTCCATTGGCTACAGTTGTTCCTTTCCTGGAAACATGCAAGAGACCGAAAGCTGATGGCTTATGGACCAACACTGGTCCATGGATCATCTCTTTCAGTAGTCACTTTATGAGACTATTCTTTCTGGCTCTGCATGTTAGGTGACTCTTCACTTTGCAAGCCTTGCCATTGATTTCTACAAGATTATATCTAGGGAAAGGGGAACATGTAGATAGAAGAACAATCAAAGATATTTTGCATTACATGTGTCTTTGGTTTGCAGATTTGATTTGCAGACAGAGACCAAACATCTTTGGTTGAAAATAATAAGAATTTTAATTTTAATAGCTTATTTCCATTTGTTTTCATATCCTCTTTTTGTAATGTAGCCTGTCTGCCCTAATTTTTCACTTATTTTGTTCGCACACACAAGAACAAATGACATGAAAAGCCTTCCCAGTGGGCAAAATTGCAAACATTTTGAGCATTTGTCAGTAATGTTGTTCATGAGACAGCTTTTTTTGTGTGTGAAAGGCTTGTGTGTGTGTGAAAAAATGGTGGTCTGCTGAAGCTGACTCTTGCACAGAGTACAAGTAAGACTTTGGATTAGGAGACATGGCTACAGCATGTTTCCAACAGTGACTCAACATGTCCACTTCCCTGCCAGTGGGGAGCAAAGGAGTGGCAGACAAACATCTAGTTGTCTTCCTATAACTGGACACTCAGCAACAAGGATCCACAGGGATCTGTGGGAATCCACTGAAGATCCACATGGAAATGTTTTTGCTGGGCATCCAGCAGCAGGAAGATAGCTGGGTGCTTGTTCTACTAGGACACAAAAGCCATGGGATAGCTATGAGAGCCACAACTGGAAAAGTGTTGATTGGGATGGCTGCCACCAAAACCTTGTGTGGAATCACATTAATCCACTATAATTTTGCAGAATTCTTCAAAATAAAGTAAAACAAATAATTTCACATGACTCAACATAGATTCCATTTCTCAATTCTTAATGAGGTCCCAAATTTAAACATTTAAAAGTGTTACATTCTATTTAAACACTGTAAATGCCCAGAATACTTTTATTGTGTGGTCCACTACTATTGGTAAGAGGATAAATCAGCCTAACATTGCGTTCCTCTTTTGACCAATGCTAATAATTCCCCGTTATCACAGTGTGAACCAAGAGTTCCAGTGTTGCACAACACTGGAATGCACATTCAACAGTGATCCCACTGATTTTCTTCCTCCCTACCTCGTTTCTCCCTACCTAGTTTATGTAAAAAAAAAAAAGAAATCGCAGTGCCATTAAACTATTGATATGTATTATTAAAAGGTTCATATTGTTGATTAGCCTTGTATGAAATAGGTTAACCAAAAAACCCCACGCGAGATACAATTCCTTGCAAGATTAATTGAAGCAAATCAATTCAAAAAACGCTAAGAGTTAGTGTAATTTTATCACATTTGCATTTGTAGGAAATATTGGTGCGTGTCTGGCAATGACCTAATTTCCAATTAAGGGGGCAGCAGCCACAATAGTAATTGAAGAAGTTGTTGCATTGCATGACAGTTACTTGTTGCAATCTTGACTGAATATGTAAGGCTTAAATGTAATCGGCAATGTTATATGTTTTTCTCTCTTCCCACCCCTTTCCTCTTTCTTTCCTAGACACAGTGCGAACATAAACCTGCACCGTAAACTGTTGACCAAAGAACTGGATGACATGGGACTCGATACTTCTCAGCCCTCACTTAGCAAGGACCTCCGGGATGAATTTTTGATGAAGATATATGGGGCCCCACATCAGATGGGGTTTGATATAAGGGAAGATACATCCTCCCCAGCAGGTACTGAGGACTCCCACCTGAATGGGTATGGAAGGGGCATGTCAGAAGAATACATGGTGCTAGATCTGAGCACCACCTCCAGCATCCAGTCTAGCAGTAGCATCCATTCCTCCAGAGAGTCTGATGCAGGGAGCGACGAGGGGATTCTCCTCGATGATGTTGATGGGGCAAGTGACAGTGGAGAATCGTCCCACAAAGCTGATGCTCCAGCCTTAGGGGTTGGCATGGGTGCTGAAGTTCCAGGATCCCTCATGTTTAGCAGTGTTTCCATGAACAATGGTGGGATCATGTGTAACATTTGCCACAAAATGTACAGCAACAAGGGAACTCTCAGGGTGCATTACAAGACTGTGCACTTGCGAGAAATGCACAAGTGCAAAATCCCTGGATGCAACATGATGTTTTCCTCTGTTCGTAGCCGGAACCGGCACAGTCAGAACCCTAACCTGCATAAAAACATTCCATTTACTTCACTAGATTAGTTCAGAGATGGACCCGGTAAATGCCAGCTCTCAAGGAGAGCTTGGCTTCTTTGAACAGCCATTTACAGACTCTTATATAAATATATATAAATATGAATATAAATATATATCTTTTTTTTCTTTTTTAAGAAAACAGAAAAACACCAGGTGCTTCCCCCTGCTTTTTTTTCCTCCCTAAGTTTCATTTTGTTAAGGTTTTTCATTTTGTGAGGGTTGGGGTAGTACCTTTAACTTGGGATGAAGTTTCCACTGCTCTAAACAAGAAAAAAGCAAACAAAAAATTGAAAAAAAACCCTTGTATTTTAAAGCCCACTTTTGTTACAATATTTGTGGTCATCTCCAAAGAGACTGTGTCTTCTACCTATGACTATTGCCTGCAACCTCAGAAAAAGAAAAAGGGGGAAATGGGAAAACCCCGAAGAAACAAAGCACTGCAGAAAGAAAGAGAGAGAAAGGAAAAAAGAACAACTTCTGTTGTCTTTTGTGTATTTTAAACAATTCAGAGGACTGTCAACTCCGCATGGCTGTTACACTTGTATATATTGAGCCTTGAAGGGCCCGTGATGTAAAACAATTGTATTGATGGTGATTTAACTTTTTTGTTTTGTTTTTTTTTAAAAAAAAATACATTTACATCCAGTGGTTAGATATGCGGGGGTGGGGGGATAGTTTGCTGGCTCGCTCTATTCATTTATATTAGCTTCAGTGCACATTTTTTTTAAAAAAGGAAAAAACACAAGGTCTTGTTTTTTAACTACCTGCTAGAGAGGCATAATAAGGAGGTGCTGGCATGCTTTAGAGCACCTGATTGGATACAGGTTTTTTGTGTTTGTTTATTTTTTATTTTTTGGGTTTTGTTTTTGTTTTGGTCTTGTTACTATTACATAAATCCAGTCATGCACTTTTTTCTTACACAATGTGGGGATGTGTAATAATATCCATACCCTTTTTTCCCTTAAAAGTATTGCCATACTTCAGTGTCTTATTAAAAGAGAACGAGAGAGAGAGAAAAATACAAGTGATTTGGTCAGTATGGGGCAAGAATGCCGAGCAAAAAGTGTTAAGTGTTAACACAGAGCTGCCAACTTTGCACAAGTTTTCAGTAACCAAAACAGAATCAGATGCTGTTAACTACAGGCCAAGATTTTGGCAGTCAGTAGAAGAAGAAAACAATCCTAGGAAACTGGGAGGAAGGAAAGAATAGACAGAAATGTTCTTCTCAGGTTCAAAATATTATCCACACTCACAAAAGAAGACCACAGTTCTTTTGTAAAAGGAAATGAAAGCTACATGGTGAGATGGCAGAGACATGTCTTCACATAAGCAAATATAGGCTTTCAGGAAACAAGAATTTTGCGCTGCATTCCTATGCCTTTTTTCTGGAAGTAAGTCCCATAGAATTTAAAGGAATTTGCTTCTGAGGAGATATACATAAGATTGCACTGTAAGTAACATGGTTGCCACAAACCATCTTGCTGTGTCATAAAGGTTTCCTGTTGACCATCAGAAAAGGCAGTGTGTGCTATAATCTCACTAGAACCAGTATTTTCTCATTCCAGTCCATTGGTTGCCACTTGTGGGATGTTTCAAAAGACTGGATGTGAGGGTATCATCACATATCCTCCCTTGCACCCTAAATAGTACTATGGAGACAAATGTCAAAGGCACCATGGGCAAGATGAGCTTCCAAAAGTAAGGTGTTGTGTATAATGTTTAAAGAAAGCCTCGGGGCTGCATATCCGCTTCTGAAACAGGTTTGTGTGTCCTCTCCTGAAGACCAAGCTTCAGTTGCAAAAAAAATTCACGTGATTGCTATATGATTAAGGCAAGCTTATATTGAAGCCACCAAAAACCATTAATGGCATAGGCACTTAAAGTTTGGAGAATATGTGTTCTTTGCCCTTTGGAGAAATCAGAAGCTGGTTGCACTGGTGATGGTGGGAGGCAGTACTCTGGACAATTTGTTATGGTCTTTTGTACTTTCCAGACATGATTTGTCAGGAATTACACTCGAGTGAGGAAAGAGCACATCGGAGAGGAAACCAATGATTAAGGAAGGCAGGGAGAAGCTGGTCTCCAAATCCTTTGTTTTGTTTTGTTTCTGGTGTTTACACATGTTGTCTGAGCATGGCAAACCACACTGGCAGCCTACCTTACCACAGCATACTGACTGAATGATGATATTTACTTAAGCTTAGTCTACAGCCAAGATCATTATGGTGTGTGTCATATAACAGATCCTTTTTGAAAAAAAGGGATACACAAGGAATATTTCCACATGCTGTGTATTTCTAGCTTAAAGAGAATGTTTTTCTTTCCTAGAGCATTTCCCTTGTAACTGCGAAACCAGAAATGCTGGGTTGTTTTCAACTTCCAACTTATGTCTGTTATGTAATTTCAGCAACTGTTAATTGCATATCAGCAAACCACTCTGTTAATTTTACTAGAGGAAACTAGTCCAAATAAATAAATTCCCTTTCCACCATGGCCCAAAGCTATAGTTAGATTACGGCAAAAACCCATTGGAACCAATTCTCATCCATTTCCATGGGACTTAGTCCTGACTAGCTGTCGCTTTAGGGACATTGTGAACCACGGTAATTTTTAAAAAAATGAACAAAACAGAAATACTATTTCTCCATGTGTGTGTAAAAAAAATTAAGTCAAATACCTTATTTTAGGCCATATTTGTTGCTTTTCAAATAGTGAACACAATATTTACAGAATTCATACAGATGCTTTAAAATGTTACCAACCAGTGTGTAAAAATATGTTTGTATCAAAAATATGTTTACATCAAACCTCCACAATTTTGCTGACTTGATTATTTTTCATTGTGCTTTGTCTTTTTTTCCAAAGTCTTAATTACTTTTTTTATAAAATTGAATGAAGAGATGCTTTGTTTTGTTTTATGCTGCGTATGTACCGTATGCTTGTGAAAGGGAACATAGAAAAGTAAAGGTGTGTTCTTCCTAACCATATGAACCTTTGTAGTGTTATCTGTACTGCACTGTCTCTTCAAACACCCCCAAGTTATTAGGAACCAAGTGAGAAGAAATACTGAAAAGGCAAACCAACAAATTGCGAAATGATATCTAAGGAACAAAAAAACACTGTTTTTGAAGTATGTATGGTATAAATAAATATCATTTTTAATGAAAAACATATTTGAGGTATATAAATAATTCTTTCCTGAAAAATCACTGTTCTGCATTCTCATTTTACTTTTGTTTCTGCTAAAGGTCAAGTGGCTTGGTAAAACTAGACTGGAAACTTAAACATCATCAAGTAGACCTTATTCAGCAAATGAGTTGTGCAGACAACATCTGTTTGTTGCACAAAATGAAACAGGATGGCAAATAATTGTAACGAATCAGAGAGGAATATGCATATGGTTTAGGCATTAACATTCTTTCATGTCTATCAATATTTGAAAGTATAAGAGGGAAAGGGCCATAGTCACAATAGGCTGCACACATACTGAAATTTTAAAATTATGTGTCACACCTTCTGTATTAGGCAATGATTCCCTCGTTGACTGCTGATACAAGTTGTGCCAAAAGAACTACAGTGTGCCTTGAAAAATAAAGACATCATTTTGGATGCATCTGCCATTCTGTGCTCACTTAGGCAGCAAAACTGGGCAGCACCCATCCGCCTTTTTCAAACACTATATGGACAGCACTATCATCCCAAGGTCCATAGTAAAGTGGCCTACAACTGCTGCCTTTTGGTGTAGATTGTAATGAGTCAGATATACAGAAAGGTTGTAGGATGGACTTTCCTGATGTAGCTCATGCTAGCACCAAGAAGCACGGGACAATTCCCAAAGCACCACCAATATCCAGCACCATTCCTAAGCATTGACTGGCAGCACAAAGAGTTCAAAGACATAGCTGTGTTACCAAAAATATAGCTGTGTTACCACTTCATCACATGAGTCATTTGCAGCTCCATAGGATGCTTTTGCCCCAGGTGAGCCATGAAGCCCCACACCGCCCAGCAGACAACACAGATTCACTTTTGGTGGAGCTCCATGACTCAACTGGGCACATGTTGGAAGGAGCTATTGAAGAAGTTATAATATGTGTCACAGAATAGGTCAGGAATCCACTGTTGATGGATTAGAATTTGTGGATGTATTCCAATTCTGTTGTTTTTCTTTCCAATCTTTGGTTGCTTTGTTCAAGGGCAGCTGTTCTGAGATCAGAGATGTAATGCCCAGGAAGATTAAAGAATTCTGCAACTGACTTCTGACACAGAGACTGGCCTGTTTGCCCAGTATAGAGTGCGGAAGGGCATTGTTGACAGAGTATGGCATATATCACATTACAGGAAGAGCAATGGAAAATATCATGTGATGACATTTCCCAGTAGTTGTGAGCAAAGAATTGGCTTGTGGATTTGTGGTAAAATGTAATGCCATCTCCCCATCCATATTGTTTATCCACCTGTAGATAAGTGTTTAGAATTGGAAGGCAAGTAAAGGCCTGCCACTAAAGTGCTTGACCAGACAACATTATTGTCCAGAATTGGTTGAAGTTAATTGATGCCTTGTCAGAGCAGTGTCAGTTGGAAACTCTATGTGACCACTAATGGGATTCTACTAGTATCTGTCTTCACTCTGTTTGGTAATACATTATTCCTGGGTACAAGTCTTATTTTTGAATTTGTCTGTGACTATTCACGCACACAGTCTGTGTGCACAGGCCTTTTCCTAGACTTCACTCCATGCATCTGAAGAAGTAGACTTATGATCTCATTACATTATCTTTGGGAAGTGTTCTAGGATATTTCTAGGATGCTTCCTCAGTGGAGCCCATCATACGATGGAAGGCTACCTCTGGAGGGACTCCATAGTGGAAGGGTCCTGGTATCATCATGGGATGCTGCCCTGAGAACACAGGAGAAAGTGGTGCAGTGGGTGATGTGGGGCAACAGTTATGGGGAAAGTGGTGCAGTGGGTGATGTGGGGCAACAGTTTCCCCCTCTGCCCCATGGATTCGCCACGCTGCCTGGTGAATCTCCCCACTGTTGCCCAGCTTCAAGACCTCAGTGTGATGCTACCACTTCTTTCTCTCAGTTAGTTTCTAAGGGATCTCTGCCAGTATGTAAAGATCCCTCTGCACACTGGCAACGTAAAGGGGAGAGCAGGGCATGAGGAGGAATTTTACTCGACTCTATCAAACTTAAAATGAAAGTCCATTGATTATTCTGGAAATATTCAAGAAAATGTTTATTTGATAGAGTTTTGAGTCAAAAGGTGAATTTAAAAGACCTCCTGAGATATCAAAAATGTAGGCAGTGCCAATATTCTGATTTAGCTATATAAACCAAAAAAACAAAAACAAAAAAACAGGTGGTACAACATTAATAGAAACAATGGTGCATAGTGCTAGATGTGTCTGGGCCTTGAAATTGTTTCTGATTTAGTGGCAGCCCCAAGATGACCCAATCACTGAGTTTTCTTGGCAAGATTTGGGCAAAGGAGCTTTGTCATTGCCTTCCTCCAAGATTGAGAGCGTGTAACTCGTCCAAGGCCATCCAGGGGGTTTCCAAGACTGGGCAGAGATTCTTTTCAACGTCCTAGATCAGCACCCAAGTCACTACACCACGCTGGCAGAATAGTGCTAAATAGTATTCACTGTTCTTTCTAAGATTCAGCTTATCTCAGGGGGTGGGGGGAGAAAAGGCTAGATCCAGTAGAGAAGGATGCTGCCAGCTACAGGGTCAATGTCCTTATATTTGCCACATTGAAATGATCTACTGGAGTCTTCTGGTGATTGAATGAAACAACACAAGATTTTTAATATAGTTTCTAAAATGTTAATAATCCTTTTAAATGTTCACACAATATGACAGTTGTTGCTAATTTCACTCCAGCTGTGCTGGTGCCTATGTATTCTACAACCCACAGGTGTAAAAGGACTGACATAAATGCAACAGATTAATGTTGAAATCCACAGTTAAAACAGGTTAAGTATTTTTATGCATTTACTGTGACTGTTCATGAGAGAAGTCAACATCCATCTTGAAGGCCTGCTGGACACTTCTATGTTGCAGATGTTTTCTTCCACATCCCAGGTACTGGTAATTACTTTCTTTATTATTTGCTCAATTTATATCCCGTCTTTCTCCTGCCCATGGATCATAGGCAACTTACAAAATTTAAAATAAATTTTTGGCTTTATTTATTTATTTATTTATTTACTGTATTCGTATACCGCCCCTCTCAGCCCTCAGGCGACTCGAAAAATATACTTATTTCAGACAGATTCAAACTAGCTCTTGAAACATAAAGCCTTTGTCAATACTGGGAAAAAACAAG